ACGCCCTATCTATCCCAGGCTGTAATGAAAACCCCTCAACTGTTATTGGGGCCGAGTCTTTATGGAATGACGGGAGGCACAACAGGGACTTTACCGATGCCTTAAAAATGGAAATGCAGATTCTGATTGGTGGTTGGGGGAGTTCTGCAAAACACAACTGTAGACAAATGGCAAGACAAGGCTGGCGGCTGCGTGGAGCAATGGAGGGAGATTAAGTCACAGAATCTCCAAGACCAAGGGGTGCGGAAGGCAAGTGACAGGCCGCACGCACCGTCCCCTGTGATTACGCAGAAGGGCAAGAGCAGACCTGCGTGAAACAGTCCCTTCGGCCAGCAGAGGGGGGAGGCACCCCAGACACCAGAGCCGCAGGTCCCCCCCAGCCTTGGTCTCAGAGCAGCAGCGCTGCTGAGGCGGCCCCTGCATTCGCTCCTGCTCCTGCAATCATAGGAGACCCTCCAGCCTTCCAGACCTCTGTCCTCCCTGCTGGGGGTGGGGGTGTGGGGGGGCCCGCTTCCTGAGGGAGACAGCTGGCGTGCTCTCTAGCCTTCTCGCCGCCCACTCCTCTTCCACGCCCAGGTGAGCGCACTGGGAGGGGTCTCCGGGAACACTGTCTGTGGAGTGAGCGGGCGCCTCCCACGGCTCCCCTGGCCTTTCCTCGGTCAGATCTCGGCGCCCAACACTGCCGTCAGTGACTGTGTGTCTTACTTCTGTTCGCTCCCCACTCACACTGTTTCACAGTCTCTACCAGGACTCCAGTCATTTTGTGGGTTTCCTTCCCCTTGTTCCTCCCTCACCCAGGAGGTGCCCCCCCAACAGAGGAAGGGCTCTGACCACTGTGGGCACAGCAGCAAGTGTCGGACTCACGCACACGCTCAGGACGGATGTGAAGGGACCAGTGGGGTTTCCCACTAGGGACTAAGTTTCAAATCAGAATTCTGCTTACAAATGTACTTGTCTCCTCACGCTCCAGAAATACTCTAAAGTTGCGGAGTCACTGAATTAAGTAAATATCAGGTTTCCCATTGTTGGGAGCACTAAATATATTACTTGAATAATCACAACAACTTGGAAACACCTGAAAGCAGTGACTTTCCGAAACACAGCTACAAGTTAAACAAAGAGCAGGTGCAGACTGTCGGGGGCAGCAAGAACCGCCGCCGTCACAGGCGGCTCTACATGTGCAGGTGACGCGCCCCCGGCAGACAACCGCAAGCCACGCCAGCTGTGCGCGCTGAGCTGTGCTCGCTGTCCTGCGCCAACCGACAAACGCCCAGTGCCAGCCTACTCTGCACGAGAAACAGTTAAGGTGGAAGGCGAACCCGACAGGAGCTCAAGGCAAGGGCTTCACACTCCACCTGTTCATGTTCCGTGCGATGATACAGGACACGCGGTGGTGGACTCAACCGCGAAGACAGTGAAAGCCCAGGGCAAGAGTCTAAACCACCCAAAGGTCGGGAAGGTTTCACACTGCGTTTGCGCTGAGCTGTGTCAGAGGACAGACACAAATCAGCAGAAAGGGCAGCTCTAACAACACCACAGTGTATGTACTGCTGGGTCTGTGTCCGTCCTGTCTGGTTCACACAGAGAACAGCAGGGGATGAAGGGGTGAAACACGTGGTGAGGTGGGACCTGTCCCTGGCTGCACTGGACACCCTCACCGAGGAGGGGCGGTCCTGTCCGCCTGCACAGATGTGACGGAGAAAACATGGAGGGGCCTGAGATGGCAGCTTGCAAGGGTGTGGGTTTGGGCACGCAACAAATTCCTTGAGCTTTATTTTCTTCATCTCTAAGATGCGGGCAGGATCTGCAGGACTGAGGGGAATGCATGGAAAACGCTCAGCTGCCTGTGACACACAGGAGGGACTCCGGAAGTGGCAGCCATTGAGGTTCATGCACTGTGTTTGCGTTCCCTGGGGTCCGCGCCAGCGACCGGGCATCGCCGAACGGCAGCGCTCCCTAAAGCCCCCGGCATGAGACCCTGAACACGCGACTGTGGTACCATGCATTTTGAGCCAGAGTTCGAATTCAAATGAAAGTGTAAGAAGGACTTTACTTGGCGGCAGCAAGAAGCTACTTGAAGATGACATGTTACATACTGAGAAAAGGGCTCAGGAAAGATACCTGATTTGTCCAAGATCAAAACGTCACGGGGGACAGGAGCAGACACGATCCCAAGTGCCCACATTTTTAACGCTGTATCGTAAGTCTTTTCATCAGGTCACAAAAGGGGAGAGGTTTCAGATTTCCACTCACTAAAACCAAGATTTACTACTCAAAGAAATAGTAACAGTGAGATGCCTCATTAAAGCCCGAGAGCACCTCCACCGCTTTTCCTGGGCTGCAGGACAGAAACGGAAACCAGCCTCCGGTTCAGGCAGCGATGTGCACCCCTGCGTCGCCCGCGGGCGTGCTCCACTCGTCGGCAAGTCTTCACGCACACGCTCACACACATGCGCGCGCACACACACGCACTGGCAGCGGTGAAGACCGGCTTTAGAGAAACAAACTAGGTGCAGTTCCCGGGCCCAGCAGCAGTGACTGAGCCCGGACCACCACGACTGAACCTCGAGGGCCTCCACGTCGTCATTCACTACGTGAGGACAATCCTACCCACAGCGGGGGTCTGTCGTGACGCGGGGTAGGACTCCACGTGCTGGCCGTGGCTGACGACGTGGGTACGGCACCCTGCACAGCGGACTGCGACACCCAAGAGGCAGACTCTGAAATTCGCACCCAGACCACCCGCATCTCGGTCTTTAGACAGGACCCTCCCCGCGCCCCGAATTCTGCAAACCCACTTCCCAGGAAGCCACGACCTCGAGGTGGGCGCTGGCTCTCGAGTAAAGGCAAGAAACTGAAGACCCGTGGAAACGGCGAAGGGAAATTTACGGGACAAGCCTCTTTCTCGACTTGGCCCCTAACCCGCGGTCGCGCATTGACAGAGACCTAAGCCTCGCATCCTCGTCACTGGGCGCCGGTCCGCGCACTAGGCGTCCGGGTTAGCGTCACCATCAGGACCGCGACACGGAAGGGGACCCCTCCGGGGCGCCGCGGGAGCCGAGAGCAAGAAGTGCAGGGTCCGGGCTGCGGGAGCGCCCACTGAGGACGCGAGGAGGAGGGCGACGCGCGCTCGCGATCCCGCCCAGGGCCGCGGACCTGCTGCGCGAGGAGCTGTCGCCGTAGCTTCTGCCGCTCCCGAATCTCCTGCAAGCGGCTGTCCATGTCCCGACTCCCGTTTCCCACTCCCCCGGGAACTTGGCGACTAGCGGATGGATCTCCGCCGGATTTTTCTCCCGAGTTCGGGAGCCCCAAGAACTGCCTCGAGCTTCAGGAGGCGGGTACCCTACAGTCTCTCCCCACCGGGCATTTCCGGCGCGGTCGCTATTGGCTCTCCTAGCAGGAAGTCCCGCCTCCCCTCGGACGCCGACATTGACGTCACAGGAAGAGGACCAATGAGAGATGCAGAGGCGTGGGCGGGGTCTCAGAGCCCCTCCGCCCCCGGAGCCGCGGCGGCGGGAGCCGGTCTGGGCGGGGCTGCGGGCGGGCGTGTCGCTCGTCCGCTTCCCGGAGACGTCAGACGCCCTTGGTGCAGCAGCACTGTTTCGAAGGTGTGGACCGATTTGTCGATTCCCCTTTCCGTTAATCCCCCAGTTGCCAGTCCTGACGTTTTAAAACATTGCGAGATACCGGTTTCTTTCGGAAAGCACGAAGTGGAGCCAGACGGCCAGGTTTGGTCCCGGGACTGTCGTCCACTGCGTGGCCTAGGCTAGGTGATCACCTCCCGGAGGTGATAAGGGTGCCCGCCTCGTGGAACGGTGCGGAGGGCACAGAAGGGACCGCGCCTGGCGCATGCGCGGTGGCAGGACTTACAGTGCTTCCAGAGTGGCGTTACTTCTCACCTTGTCCCCCCGCGGGGAACGGCGCAGCGCGTACCTGTGCCCTTCTCCACTCCCGGCCAGCCCCGGAGAAGCTCTACGGATTCTTCCCTTCGGGGAAGTGGGCGGGAGGTAGTACAAGGGGGCAGAGGCCAGGGGACCCCTTTCTGGGCTTGTGCAGTGAGCTGTCTCAGTTGGCAATGACCCCGGGAGGTGGACACGGCCTCCTGGCGTTACCTGGGTCTGGCGGGGCGGGGCAGGGCGGGGCGATGCCCCTCTCTCCGGAGCCTTAGGGTCCAACTGCTGTAATCGACCGCGTTTGTCATCGCATTCCAGAGTCAGAGCGTCAGAGGCGGGCTGAGACATTATGTATGTTGCCTCAAGTTTAATTGGAAGCTGTGGCAAGCAAGCACTTACCAGCATTGGTAACAAGTCTTTATTCTTCCAGAGGGGATTTATTTTTGCAAGTAGTATCACGTCTTCCAGATCAAAGCCTGGTGGGTCAGGCCAGGCCGAAATGGCCGGGACTGGATTCTACTCATTGTCACCCGTTTCTCAAGAACTAGCTCTGGAAGTCAGTTTCAGAAGAGAGTTCTGGAAATCTCTTGAGTAATGGCAGGACCGTGTGAAAAAGCGGTTAAGTGCAAGGGCCCGTACTGTAAGAGGAAATGCTGATTTGCACGTAGAAGTCAAAGTGTCTTGATAAAAATCACTTTACCTGCCAGTCACGTATGGTGAGTGCTGATTCGAACTATGTGTCAGCGATGGGAACAGGCACTTGTGCACTCAGAACTGCAGTGATGTTCACTGAGCATCTGAAGTGGCAGTGATGGTGACAGTGACAGACCCGGCCTGCAGTCTGGCTGGGTCATAAAAAATAGAAGACCAAGCACATCCGGTTTTCTTTATGGAGTTCACTCCTAAAGGAGGAAGCTGTTTTGTTTCTAAGTGCAGTGCCGGTTTGGTGCCTGTGGCCCTGGACCCGGTTCACCAGATCTCTGCTCTGTGACGATGGTTGGGCGGAGTCTGCAGGCCACCCCCCACCCCCAGTCTCCCCCATCCGGCGTCTCCCAGTAACATTCTGCTGGGGAGGCGCCCGCAGGGAGTCACAAGTGGAAGGTGGGCAAACCAGTGTTCATTTCTGCCGTCCTCTGGCTCCTGCCATCCTGGGGAATGGCCGTGCCCTTCACAAAACCCCTGAGCCGGTGGCAGCAGCCCCTCCTTGGTGGTCCTGCTCCCCCTTTCCTACTCAGACAGTGCCCCCGAGCCGTGAGTTGGCTCTGGAGCTCTGAGAATAAACCCACCTCTGTTCTACCAGCTCTAGGGCTGGAGCCGCGACTGCTACCTGTCCAGAATTCCTCGGGTGATTTCCGTTTTCCTGCCTGGAACCTGCGCTGATACGGATGCAGATGAGCACAGCCTGGTAGCCTGTGCAGGGCCACTGGCCTTGGGCAGAGGGCTGTGGGAGACCAGGCTGCAGCTCTGACCACGCCCTGGCCCTGCTGGGACGGTGGACCTTGCCTATCAGTGCGTCTATTCCTAAGGGCCTCTGGGGAGTGTGTGTGGTGGGGGCGGGGGGGGAGAAGAAGAAGCCAGGAAGGTCTCCTCCACATTCCACTCATAGTCCTTGGTGCTCGTGCAGCCGGCAGGCTGCTCCGCCAGCTCCAGCTGTGGCCTGGCGTGCTTGCCTCTGCCTCTGGGTCACAGAGCAAGGGAGTGTCCCTGGCCCCTGGCCCGTGGCCTCCTTGCTCACGCACCAGCCTCTCCCGCTAGCCATCAGCAGGGCAGGCCATTGCAGCAGAGCGGAGAGAAAGGGAACAGGAATATATGAACCTTTCATAGCTGGGGACCCACGCAGTGTGGCCCTTCCCCTTGCCCCTGCCCTCAGTGTGGTAACACACCACATCTCTCTCCTCCTGCTTTAAAGGGGTTAACGGAACTGGGATGGGGCATCTCCGCGTAGTCTGGGAGCCTGTCTGGGCCGTGACCACTGGGGTGGAGGGGCCTGTGGCGTGCTGGCAGGCCCCCATCGCATCAGGGCAGCTTCCCGTGACAACCCCCACACGCAGAAGTGTGAGAACACAGAGTTGTGTGCCGTGGGCTTGAGTGACACGAAGGCGGGGGGAGGAAGGTGGTCACAAACGTGTTGGTCAGCAGACTGGACGACAAGAACAGGCAAGCCGGGCAGGCCAGCAGACACAGTGGGAAAGGTTTTTCAAACTGATTCGTAGAGAAGGAAGAAGACAGCAGGGACAACAGGACTCCAGTGGGTTTTGAGAGTGTTGTGTAAATGTCACTGAAGCCATTTACACCTTATCTCTGAGTCCAAAGTAGCTCTTTCAGAGGGAATGCCACAGAGTTCCGACGAAGGGAAATGCTCGTCCAGCCAGCGGACCCACAACTGGGTTTGTCTTCGCCTCCCCTGCGAGGTGGCATCGCAACGGCCTTCCCGAATGTCCGGTGCACTTGCACAGCCTTTAACCCGGGTGTCCAGCTTGTGGCGTCTGAGAGCCACACTGGAAGAAGAGGGGCTGTCCTGGGCCACACGTTGGATACATTGCGACATGTAATCACACACAAAATCTCAGTGTTTTAGGTAAATGTATGATTTTGTGCTGGGCCCCACTCACAGCCATCCCACACTGCATGTGGCCTGCGGGCTGCAGGCTGCACGCCCCTGAATTTTAAACTATCAAGAAGAGAGAAAAGTCAGAGGCTTTTAGAGATTCTTGCAGATCATTGGGAGGAAGTGCACATACAGTACTACTTTCTGTAAAGGTTTTTGACTATTACCACTTCCCTCCTGGCCGGTGCGGCTCAGGGGGCGGGAGCATCGTCCCATAACCACAGGGTCGCAAGTCCGACCCCTGGTCTGGGCGCCTGTGGGGGGCAGCCACTCGCTGTGTGTCTCCCCCGCCTCCTTTATCCCTTCCCTTCTCTAAAATCAACGAAAAAAAATGTCCTCAGGCATGGATGAAAAAAGATTTTTACCATTACTCTACAATTTATGAAACATTCTCTATAAATAGAGACCCATTTTTAAAACACTGATAATGCAACTATTTCAAAGATCTGTGGGATAAAAGAATTCATAAAGTGAAATACCCTGTTGAAATGAACTTAATTCCTAATTTATCTCTTTTCTAATCCGTTTTCTTTACCAGGTCGCTGTATCTCTGTTGCAGAAAATGCTGAATTCAGGACTTGCCGCGGTAAGTGACACGCCGTGTGTATGAAGCTTGTAGAGCTGTCTCTAGGAAAATCACAATTCTCACGTGCGAAATGGCATTGTTTGTGACGCATATACTTTTAGGAGCTTACTCTGTGATTTTTTAAAAAGATTTTATTTATTTATTTTTAGAGAGGGAATGGAGGGAGAAAGAGAGAGAGAAACATCAATGTGTGGTTGCTGGGAGCCGTGGCCTGCAACCCAGGCATGTGCCCTGGCTGGGAATCGAACCTGTGACGCTTTGGTTCGCAGCCTGCGCTCAATCCACTGAGCTACGCCAGCCAGGGCACTCTGTGATTTTTAAAAGTACATAGCATCTTGGGATGTAGCTCATTCAGACTAACAGCCTTAATGCTTTAATATTGCTTTTTAATTTGTTTGTTTTTACAACTTAATTCTTACTTTGAAGTTGAATATATTCTTTCTCCATAATTTCAAGTGGTAAAAACAATTAGAAAAGAAAGTGCATTCTGTGATGAATCAAAGATAAAAACCTACATTCAAAGAGATTGATGGTAGGTTTCAATCTCTTTAGTCATTAGTGCTGCCTATTTTTAATGATCTGTTTGGGATTTTAAATAAAAAGGTGTGAATAGAAGAAGGTCTGTTCTCAGAACTTAAAAAGTGCTAGTGAACTTTATGCCATTAAAAAAATTGTTATTATAAAGTCCCTATTCTGGAGCTCTGGATCAGAAAAATAGTAAAAGTCATTTTTGTTACTTTATACCTAACCAACAACAAAAAAACAGATTTAGTTATATATGTTCTTTAGAGACATATAATATTATATCCAATGAAAACATTGTAAATTTTACAATATTTAGAATTCTAAATTCTGAAAAGAAAGTTCAAATGACTATACACAGACAATCCTTATATAAATGCTCAAAAAAAAAAAAGAAAAAAGCCCTGACTGGTGTGGCTCAGTGGACTGAGTGCCGTCCTGTGAACCAAAGGGTCGCTGGTTCGATTCCCAGTCAGGGCTTATGCCTGGGTTCCAGGCCAGGTCCCCAGTACGGGGTGCCCAAGAGACAACCACACATTGCTGTTTCTCCCCCTCTCTTTCTTCCTCCCTTCCCCTCTCTAAAAATAAGTAAATAAAATCTTTAAAAAGGAAAAGAAAAGCTAAAGCTGAATTACGGCCAAGATGCTGAATCTGTTTCGGATTATGAGCGAGCGCATCCAGAGCACCCGCCGCCTTCTGGTGGGCGCCCGTGCCAGGTGGCGCCGGGACGTGCGGAGTTAGCATTGGCGGCCTGGCCCTGGCTCCTCGGAGCCCCCGCCCCCTGGAATGCTCTCTCTCGTTCCCTCGTGTTCATTCACGGGTCAGAGGTTCAGTAAATCAAAGCCAGTGCATCCTGGTGAACGTTCGCAGAGAGAAACAGCTTCTTCGGCCCCTGGCCACAGAAGCTGGAGACGTGTGACCGAAGGGAAAAAGTGGGACATTTCCTCATCCCGGATGGGAACTGAGTTCCACCTTCCATTCCCGACCCGAATGGTTTTGGCGGTCCTCTGAGAGCTGCGGCCTGTAGCCAGACCCGCCTCCAGCCAGAGTCCAGTGCCACACTGCCGGTCAGGTGCCACTTCCCGAGGGACCCACTCCCAGGCCGGAGACCCCGCCCCGAGGAGGAGGCGGCGCCCGCACAGCCGTGTGCAGGTCAGGAGGGGCAGTTGCTCAGAGCGCGTGCCAGCATCATTCTAGGGGGAAGCACAGTTCCGTGTGCGCATGTACACATGTGTGCATACACACATGCATGCACACATGCCGGCAGTGACTTGGAGTGGCTCCTGGTACCATGGAGAGGGAGACCCCTTGGCGTGTGGAACCCGGAACAGGCACCACCTGTCACGTGCCTGTGCACAGCGAGTTAACTCTGTGTCCCACTGCCCCTTCTGTGAGGCCCTGCCCCTGGAGGAAAGCTCAGCGGGCATTCGCGCTTTCTTCCGACCACCTCCAGTATCAGAAACGGGTATCAGTCACCTAAGCTTTGGCCTTAGCTTAACAGTCCAGACACGAGGCCGACATTGAGTTGTGGCTGTCGGGGGAGGGCCTCTCCTCCTGCCCCGACTCCGGGCGGCTCACGGGCCTGGCGCCGGCAGTTTGGAGGAGCAGGGGGCGCTGCCTGCTGCTTCTGGAACCTTCCCCTGGCGGGGGGGATTGTCCCACCCGAAGGCTGCCCGTCAGAGCAGTGGCCTGGCTGCCGAGTTTGCCGTGTCCCACACGCCCGGCACGGCGCCGCCGCTCTGCGGACGTGGGCTCCGTGGGGGCCTGCCCCGCTGCTTTCTGGGAGGGCAGGTTTTCTTGAGATTGTCAGCGGCCGGCGAACTCCGTGTCCTCAGAAGGGACGTCCGTGGTGGCGCTGCTCAGCTGGGGGGCAAAGAGGAGGGAGCCCTGGGTGCAGAGACACCCAGCTCGGCTGCTCAGCCGCGCCCCTCACTCACGGTCTGTGACGGTCCAGACACACATGGAGTGGGACACGTCCCTGCGGGGCCTGGGCGCCGCGTGCACACACGCGAGGAGACCGTGCTGTGTTGTCACAGCTCCAGACCCGGACATTCCTGTCGGCCAGCGTCAGCGGTGCCTCTGCGGCCTCCCCGGGGCAGGTCCGAGCAGGTCTGCCCGCCCCCGGCTCTGGCCGTGCTCACAGGCTGTGACCCAGGCTGACCTCATCGGGACGCTATGCGGAGCAGCCTCTGTTTGCTGCTCGTGCCGCGTGGTGTGAGTGTCTGGGCTGGCGCGGGGCGGCACACTCCTGACCTGACCACACCCAGACCGTCCCTCCCCGGGTGCCGCATTCTTGGGGACAGGAGGGGATTACAGTGCACGTGTCGAGTTAACTGTGGGGGTTGTATTGCAGTGAGACCCAAAGATACGTTTGGAATTTAACTAGGCTGAGAATGGTCTCCAGTAATTTTTAGCGGTGTTCTAGAATAGGACTCAGATATCTCCGCACAGCCTCAAAACTTTAGGGGAAAATCAGTGAAATGTACCTTATAAACTGTGAAGTTTATGCAGTTACACGTGTATGTATTATAGAGATACAGCATTGCAGGCATATTCTTATTCTGACATGAAAAGGGTTTCTGGCATCACCGGTGTTCATTTACTGGAGAGCTGTGGGACTCAGCAAAATAGCAGAGCTGGGAAGAGAAGTGTCAGCTCACTCCGGTTGGAACTCTGTTCCGAGAGGACGCGGCCCCCGCCTCTGTCAGGCTGGGACTTGAAGCGCGTTCGGTTCCGTGAGGTGCAGCTTCTCGGGGGACTCGGGCTGAGTCACCCGCCGTCTCGCAGCACCGGTTCCTCGGCCGCAGTCCAGCGGGAGTGAAGTCATTCGGGGCTTTTCAGACATGTTGCCAAAGGCCTGCTTTTCCCTCCTAAAAGGTATAACGGGAGACAGAAGACAAAACAAAGGCGAACGAAGAAAAAGCACTTCACCGAACCAGCTTGGGGCGAGGCCTCCGAGCGGGAGTGGGCGGCCCCGCACTGCGCACCGTCGGCAGTGGGGGCGGCCCTCTGTCCTCACGGAACAGCCCCCCTGTCCTGACGGAGGGCGGCGAATGCTTGGGGACAGCGGCAGTGTGCGTGGGCGACACATCCGAGAAAGGGAGATACTACATTTCCTCCTGGAAACTCGGGAAGAATGCCAGCGTAAGGAAGCTCCCAGACAGTGAGCGCTGTGGACCTGTGTTGTTCCAGAATTCCTTGTACTGGCCCTGGCTGGTGTGGCTCAGTGGATTGAACGCGGGCTGTGAACTGAAGCATCGCAGGTTTGATTCCCAGTCAGGGCACATGCCTGGGTTGTAGGCCACGGCCCCCAGCAACCGCACACTGATGTTTCTCTCTCTCTCTCTTTCTCCCCCCCTTCCCTCTCTAAAAACAAATAAATAAAATCTTTAAAAAATATATTAAAAAGAAAAGAATTCCTTGTACTTGTTTGGTGAAGAGATCCAGCTCTCCCCCTGGAGACACCCCTCTTGTGAAGACGAGTGCAGACGGTCTGCGCGGTTCCAGACGGCCCACTCAGTCTGGTCCAGTTCCCGGGCGCAGAGGACGGTCTCAGCGGTCTGCGGCTCCTCACTCTGGGACCGTCCGTCGCCCCGCCTCCGACGCAGTCTGCCGTCCTTCCCAGCGCGTCCTCTCCTGCTCGCCGGCCGCCTCTCTCGGCCTGCCCGGCTGCTCGTGTCCCTTAGATGCCGATCGGTCCCGGCAGACACTGAGTGCACGATGCGAGTGTAAACCGTGACCGCTGCCGCGGCCGCTGCGCCTCCTCACAGGAACAGAGGTGGGGGCGAGCGGCGAGCAAGTCTCCGGAGTCTGCCCCACTCTTGAAGAGCATCCTTGCCTCCTTCTGAGTCTTCTCTGGAACAGGAGGTCTCATTAGGTTCCAGAATTAACCTCACCTCTGGGTAGAAAAGTTGTCTCCTTTGAAAAGTTCCAAAGCATTCGTCCAGAGCTTCCCGCGGGGCTGGTGAAACACGGGGAGACGGGACGTGTGCGGGGACAGCGCCTCTCAGCCGCGGGGCGGGGCGCAGAGCCCGTGGGTGGGGCCGGGGTGCCTGCGCCCCCCTCCACTCATGCCTCTTGTCTCGTGCAGAGACTTTTGGGGAAACACCGCGTCACCCAGGGGCTCAGCCCGGCCACGGCCCAGACTTGCACCTTGCAGGCAGCGCCGCGCATGGGACGCGCCGCGTGGGGGCTGAGTGCCACCGGAGGCCGGGGCGCTGGGGGCTCTGAGGCGGGGCTGGAACGGAGCGGGCCCCGCAGGTGGCCGTGGGCGCTTCAGAGGGCAGGGCTGGTGAGCAGCCTGCGCCTAGTCCGCGCCCTTCGGGCTGAGTGTCTGGGGGAGGGCTGCGGGGGGTGGGGGGGGATGGATGTCCGCCTGCCTCTCTCCAGGGCCGGCTGCATTCAGTCCGCTGCGTGACCGCGGGGCGCGGGTGCCGCTGCGGCGCCGGGGTGCGAGGCCGCTGTTTGGTGTTGGTTCTCACACACATGACCTTGCCCTGTGCTGCAGCGCCTCAGGTCACTGTATGTGTTCCAGGCCCACCAGCGGGGGCGTGGGAGGAGAGGGGCTGCCCCCGGCAGCCCGGGCTCCCTGCGGGTGGGCTCTGAGTGCCCGCCCTCGGCCGGCCAGCACGTCCCGGGAAGCACGCAGCTCCGTGCTCGGAGGGAGGTGGACAGGACGGAGGACAGCGCGCTCCAGCTCCTCTCCTCGCCGTGCCATCGTCCCGCCTTCCTCTTCAGTTTGGAGAGATAATGGGAGCAAATTACAGGGGAAGCCGTCTCTCTGTTTCGGGGTTTCGAACAAAGCAATCTGCTGAGTCTTTGACATTTTTTAGAAACCACCAACATGATTAAAAAAAACTTTGCTGCTCCTTCAGGCTCATTTAAAGAACCTTCAGAATCCAAGGAAGTGACAATTACCGGATGATTCCCACAAGTTGGTGGTCCTCATCAGAGGGGAGGGTGCCCATGAGGCTTTAGCCTCCCAGCAGAGAACAGGGCGCAGGCCAGGCGACCTCGGTCTGGCACCCGGCAGTGGTGTGGGGGTGGGCGTGCTCTCCGGGACCCCCCGCTCCTGTTCGATCTGGGAACGGCTCGGAAGAGGGGGTTCCTCCCTCACAGTCTCCTCTCTGAGACAGATTCAGACCCGGGGGGTCCCAGCCCAGATGTCACTGGCCCAGGGCGCTGGCTGCGGGCTGAAGATCGCGGTGGTGGGCGCAGGAGAGGCCGGCCGCACAGAGGAGCCCAGGGCTGGGCTTGCACCGAGGAGCCGCAGCAGCGGGAAAGTGCCGGACCGGAAGGGGGCCCCTCGGAGGGGGCTGGACACCGGAGCCGTGCGAGGGCCCCGCATGGGGGCCACCTTGCGTCTCCGTCCGCAGTGCCGTCGCCACCGGTGTTTCTCTCACGCGGGGAAGCAGAAAGCAGACGCAGGCCTGCCACGGCTGTTTCTTCCTTAGGAGTATTGTGTGTTCCGTGTGCATTCTTTACCGTGTGTTCAACACGGTGATTCTACCATCTGCTCACGTGCTCTCTCTGTTCGATGCATAGTATCTTTAAAATTATAAAACTCAACACTGCACATTTCAGAAATAGAAAATGTAAAGAAAAAAACTTAGAAATGCCCTCTATTCGGCCACCCAGGGATCCCACTTTCACGTTTTCTGTGGAAAAGCTCATAGAGGCCTGCACAGGACCACGCGGCCCCACCACTGGGCACCGCCCCCCCAGCCCCGGGAGCACGCCGTGCGAGCTCACGGCTGCGTTGGTGCCCCCCGGAAGTCCCCCTCCGGGCCCCCTTCTCCTTCTCCTGCCGCTGCACTTCGAGCGTGTCTCCAGCTGCATCATCTCAAACAAAGCCATAATGCGATATTCTTTTAAATAAGCTTCCCCGCTGCTGCTTTGATTATTTCCAAACCTAGGAAACGTCTTGCCCTCTCTTTGTCCCTTCTTAGATTTGAGAGAGGGGAAAAATCAGCGCTAATTATGATTTAAATATGAGTGGTGCTAAATGACATGGCTTCTTAGAAAGAAAGGAAAATTACAAGTTTTAAAGACGATTATATGTAACAATCAACCCCAGCAACTTCTAAGACCTGGAAAACGCCACCAGCCAACTGAGCGTTGTCCTCATTTTCTCTCTGTTGTCCTCTCAGTGGTTCAGTCTTCCGCAGCGACAGCCTTCAAGTGAAAAGAAGGGAATCTGATTCTTTGGCGTAGATTTTCCATCTTATTCTACTCTGTAATAGGAAACAACATTATTTCCTACTATTTTGATAAATTGCATCTCCCCCTAAATAACAGACTTGAATATATATCCTTGTACTCACTGTTGTTTCTGCGGAAAGTGTGTTCAAAGACCCAAACACACATTTACAGATGAACCTTTAACAGCACAGTAAGCTTGTCAGGAGGGAGTTCTGGTATCTCGGAAAGCGACCAAAACCCAGTTACCCTCATGCACCAGAACGTCCAGATTACTAGTGTACGTTGTGCTAAGATGTGTGATTCACCCTCAGGCCGAACCCCAGCAGCTGTCCTGTCCGAGAGACACGTGGGCTCCCCCCGGACACTGGCTGGGTCGCTTCGCCGAGGGCCCTGACCCCTGCAGCGCCGAGTGTGCCTCCCAGACGGGGTTGTCCCCGAAAGGGGACGAGGAAGCCCACAGCTCAGATCCGCAGCGGGCCACGGAAATACCCTCGTCGCCTCTGTGCCCGCCCTGTGTCCCCTGTCCCGCTTCCTTGTTCCATGTCAGTAATCACCTCCTGGCCTGTAACACCGTTTTCCGTCCCGTGCCGGGCCGCACGCACCGAGAGCTGGGGGGGCCTCCTTCTCTCGTGGCTCCCCGCTGCGCTCAGTGCATGTCCTGCGTAAGGGGGTGCGCGAGCGCTGAGTTAGTGAACAGTGAAGACGCTTGGTTGTTCAGACTGGATACAGCAGAAACACTATATTGCAAAACATTGAAAACCTTTGTAAACAAGCCCAAGTTTAAAAACTTGCAAGTGTCATATTTTTATTATTCCTTAAAAATCAAATGTGTTGTATCTTTAGCTAAATCTATACAGGAAGGAAACATGAATTGCAAAGCCTAGAGAGACAATAACAAGCATTTTCCTTTCCAAGTGAATGAAAGATTTTTGCCTTAAAAATATGAGAGAGACACGACTCTGTAAGCCGAGTAACATTGCTAATGATTTTAGAATGTGGTTGTCCAGTCTTTGTGGGCAGTTACAAATACGGTTTTAATACAGACTTTGTTTGCTATATTCTAAATAAGTAAGTTAAAACTCCCACACCACAAAAATTACCCCTGGACAATGAGTAATATGTAATTCAAATGTTCTGAAAGTAAGACATCTCAGCAATTCCAAGATAAACTGCTCAGTCTTATTTCGGGAGGGGCGGAGCTGCAGGGAGCTGCTCTCATGGCCAGGGTCCGACCTCATCGGGCTGTATTTTCGGACAGCTCTCGGGGGCGCGGGGACGCATTTGTCACGGCATTTCACAGATGTCCCCAGACAAAGCTAAATGAGGAGATGGAATGAGAATAGATTTAAACAAGAGCTTATTGAAATTCACAGCTGAGCTTATTGTTGGTGACGGGACCTCCCAAGAGGATTGTTGAGTTTAAGTGCACGGTACTGGGGACAACCTTTTCAAGTCGTGACAGCGGCTGCACGTGCGGAGGGAAACAATGGAGAAAGCACCGTCTGTGAGCGGTGGACCCGCCAATCACCGCTGGCCTGCCATCTCCGTCCCAGCCAACGCTCTGGTCTCCTTGCCTCTCCAGCCCCACCCCCTTTCCAGACCTTGCCCGCTCCCCGCACTCACAGCCCCAACTCGCACCCTCAGGAGGCTCACAGGGCCAGCTCCGGTGTGACGCCCAGTCTTGAGTGGGTGGTGGGCAGGTTATCTTCGCCGAAGGACCCGGTCACGGCCACTTAACTGGAGCCCTTACTTTATAAGCTCTTACCTTATAGTGTTAGCTGCTCGTCACCGGAGAAGGGCGTGCGAATAAAAAAGTGCTTCCCTCTTCTTGGCGTAAAGCATCTGCCTCGCAAGGACAGCCACCACCTCTGTCACTCCTGCAGGAGTCATCGGAATGTTCATTCACCGCTTCCTTTGTCCTCTGGAACCACACAGAAAGGCATTTATATGAAAGGCCAGAAAAAATATTTAGAAATGTTACTAAAAAAAATTTCAGTGCTATCAAGTCTGTGTCTAATATAAGAAAGTATTTAATCTGACATTCCAAAATGTGGAGAGGTATGGATGTAAGTGTTGTTGAAGGTAACAAATGCTGGAAAAATTAGGCCAATAGGAGATTTTATTGGAAGGATAACGGACGAGTCACGGAATTAATGGCACATTTGTGAAACAGGGTTGGGGCGGATTGGAGCTAAAACCCAGCTCCCGAGGGGCGCCCCGAACTGCAGGGGTCCGGAACCCCCAGTCAGTGTGCTGCCGCTGGCGTCAGTCCCTCCACCTGCTGCTCCTGTCTCTGTGGGAGCCCGCTCAGTTCAGAAGTGGGGGGATGGGGGGGGCGACTCGAGTAAAACGAGGAATGAAAGGGGGTAACCGACACCACAAAACCACAAAGCATCACAAGAGACTGCTGTGAACAAGCACACACCAACACATTTGATACCTTAGAAGAAATGGGTACATTCCTAGAAACCTCCAACCTACAGGACTGGATTATGATGAAACAGAAAACCCGAACAGGCTGATTGATCAGTGATAAAAAACCTCCCAACAAAGTGCAGGACCAGACAATGTCACTGGTGAGTTTTTGCCAAACACTCGAGGAGGAGGTGGTACCAGTCCTTTCGAACTCGTGCGGAGACCGGAGGAGGAGGGGACTCCTCCGAAATCACCCTGTTTAAAGCGCAGACATGGACCGGTGTGGCCGGCCGCGGGTCCCGGGGCAACCACGCGCGGGCCTCGTCCTCCGCGCTCGCAGGCGGGCAGGCCTGGCTGGGAGACCCCGCCGGCCGCTCTGCTCGCCGAGGAGGCTGTGGGCTGGGACTCCGCGAGGGGAAAAGCTTTCGTTTATGCGCTTCAGCTGCTGTTCGGGCCGCTCTCGGCCCTGCCTGTAAAATGCCTGCGGCGAGTGGGAGCCCCCCCGCTGCCTTGTCTACGGGGCTGCGGGCACGGCGAAGGGGTCTCGGCGCGGCCGGCCCTGTTTGCGGCTCTCCGGGCGTCGCGTCCTCTGGGTTTAGGCCATCCCACTCGCCCTGAGTCCCCACGGACACCCCCCACGCCTCCGCTGTGACCGTCTGTGGACGGCCTTCCTCCCCGCAGCCCGCCCCACCTGCCGGGGCGAAAGGGCCGCGCGGGGCTCGCTGGGCACGACTGACATCTGCCGCGCGGTCGGGCCCCGGTGGTCAGCGGCCGCTGGCCTTGTGGGCCACCGCCCAGCGGTTTGCTTGGGCCCCCTGGCCGTCGCTGACCGCTCAGCCGTGCCCCCGCGCGGCGGATCGGTCCGGAGCAGTGTGGGGAGGCAGGGAAGTCGAGGACCGCGCCGTCCGCACCTCGCGGTTTCAAGACCCCGTGAAATCTTCCGGGGATCGGGGCGGAAGCGTGCGTGTGCGTCGGTGGGCTTCAACGTCTCCCGCGTCCGCGTCTGCCTCCCAGGGACGAGGGAAGGTCCTCTCGGTGTCTTGCAGTCCTTACGGATGAGAGCACACACGGGTCGCGGCCCGCTGGGGCTGCTCTCGCGGGGCGCCACGGGCCGGCGTGCGGCTCCCAGTCCGCAGGCCGGGGTCAGAGGCCAGGGCGCCTGGGGGGGGCGGGGCGGGGCGGCCGGCGCCCAGGGCTGCTCAGTGGGGGAGGGGCTGGGGAGCGCAGGGATCTCTGGGAAGAGCCTGGTCCCCCTCGCGAGGGCTCCACCCCCGTGACCTCATGAACCCGAAGGCCCCGCCCACCGGCGCTCCGCCTTTGGGGGTCAGGGTTTCCAGGCAGGGCTTCTGGGCCCACACGGACTCCCCGGCCTCAGCCGCGTGGCTGTGCACATGGACCTTTTTAGTGGGGGTCGCCATCTTGTCCGAGAGGGAAGTCCCAGCAGTTCCCGCCGCGGCCGCCGCCGGCGGTGGTGTGTGTGCGGGAGAGCCGTCCCCGCGCTGAGAAGAGCTGCCTGGAGGAGGGAGAGGGGCGGAGGCTCGCCCCCGGCCCCTGACCCCCGGTTCGTCTGGGTCGTGCCCCGGCTGGGCCTTTGCTGCCGGTTCACAGGAAGTGTGAGACACGCCGCGCTGCACCGCGTGGCGTTCGGGTCGGCGGCGGACCACGTGTCCGGCGGCGGCGAACCACAGGGCCGGGAGGGGGCGGCAGGCCCGGCGCCCAGCGGCGAAGCCCCCGACCCCGCCGCTCCCGGAAGGCTGAATGGAGCGCGCTGTGAACCAATAAATGAGAAGCCCCGCGTTTCTCTCCGTGCGCGTGCGTGTGTGTGCATTCCTCTCCGTCGCCGGTGTTCGGTCGGGGTGCTCTTGCCCGCGGGGTCGTCTGGCTGTGTCTGGAGATACCCTGGGTGGGAGGGTCGGGCTGCTGGCGCCCAGGGCGGGGATGTCGGGGTGCTGCTATGTGTCCCGCAGTGTGCGGCGGAGCACCCCACCCCAGTGACGAAGAATCATCCCGCCCAGGATGTCAGCAGTGCCGAGGCTGAGAAACTCCGTTCCAGGCGTGTGCTTTACGGGTGGACATTTCAGTGCCCACTTGTGACTGGACGCGGCCAAGGCCCCGGGCATGCAAAGGGCCAGACAGCCTTGCACCCCCCGGGGCGCACAGCGCGGGGAGGGAAGAGGAGAGCAGCCCTGCACCCCCCGGGGCGCACAGCGCGGGGAGGGAAGAGGAGAGCAGCCCTGCACCCCCCGGGGCGCACAGCGCGGGGAGGGAAGAGGAGAGCAGCCCTGCACCCCCCGGGGCGCACAGCGCGGGGGGGGGGTGAGAGGGAGCAGACGGCGCAGGAATGCGGCGCGCTCCGCGGTGGAATGCAAACAGGACGCGGCGGAGCCGGGGCGGCGCTGCTGTAAACACTCTCGGCGGCAGAACGCCCCCCCGAAGCAGCCCCTCCGGACGGAAGCGTTCTTTCCAGAAGGCCTTTCCCAGCAGCCCCTGCGGGCCGAGAGCGCGGCTCTGGGTTCGGAGGCCTCGCTGCGGGCGGGCACCCCGCGCGCTCTGTGGACCGGACCTGCAGGGGGGCCCCGAGTCCGACGCTGACAGCTGTCACTCTATTTCTGCGCCGAGAGCACATTTGGGGACTTGAAACGGACCCAGCGCCGCACTGTGAAAGAACGTGCAGGTCGCGGCCTGAGGGCTGCGTGTGGTGAGAACAGCAGTGCAGAGGGTCAGCGTGCTTGGCGTGCCTCCTCCCACGCACGTCTCTGTCCCCGGCGGCGGGCCCTTGGGCTCCGCTGGGGTCCACCCCCAGTCACAGCGGCCAGACCCGGGGAACACGCGGCACACTCACCGGCCTCGTGCAGGCCTTCCTGAGCCGCGGTGCCCTCCCACTTGGGCTGTGGCCCAGACGTGGCTGGTGAGCTCGAAAGCCCGGTGACGTCTGTCTGGAGGTGAGAGGGAGCCTCAGCGCCCACGGGCGGCCGCACGCTGTGCCCCCACCCACCCCCACCCCAGCGCGTCGTGCGGGCGGCAACTTGGAGAGCTGCTGCGGCGACAACAAGTGAGATAACACCCACTGAGTGCGCCTGTCGGCCAGGAGCAGCGCCGCTGGTCCCAGGCATGTGACTGCGTGTGGGCCTCCGCGCCCCGGACTCCACTGGTGCCCCTGGTCCGTGCTCACGTCTGTTCTCTGGGCGGCCCCGTGGGAACGCCCCGTGGCCTCCGCCCACCTTCGTGTTCTCGGGAGCCCAGCAGCGGCTCTGCTCTTCCCGGCCACGCGCACGCTCTCTCCTCCGAACCCCAGGGCCTTCAGAACACGCCCGTGCGCCCCACGGTCACGCCAGCCCTCACCAGACCCAAGTCTCCGAGTCTCCCCCCCACAAGCCCGCCCTCAGCCGTGCAAGGAAGCCCACGGCCTCGCGGCAGGGCTGGTTCTGTCCGGATCCAAGGCTCCCCCCCCCCCCACTGGGCGACAGCCGCCGAGGGCTGCGCCCTCCCGTGGTCACCGTGCCCCCGAGGCTCCTCGGGCCCCAGGGGAGTGGGGTGGGACCCGCCCACCACGGCACATAGACCCCACCGCTTCACTCTCAGAGTGGTCTCGTCCCACTCGGAAAGCCGACATTGGCAACCCCACCGTAAGCCTGTGTGACCGGTTGGTGCCATAAATACTGTCCTTGGGAATGGCACACGCCCTTCTCCCTGTGTCTCCCTGGAGAAGTGCGGTCCTGCGCCCAGTGCTCAGGGTCCACCCCGCCTGCCCTGCCGGGGCGCCCGGGGCAGCTGCGACTATGGCGCAACACAAAATCCTAAATGTACTTAAAACCCTTGTTTTCTCATCAGCTTTCATTAGCATTCGTGTGTTTACTGTGTGGCCCCGAGAGGCTGGGGAGCCTGGCTTGGCCCGAGTCCTACCCGGACGGCGGGGGAAGCGCTGGGGACGCTGTTCTCCTTCCCGCAGCCACACTGGCTCAGCTGCGTCCACACCTCCCACACTGCGCCACACTGCCGCGTCCCGGGTCAGCGTGGCTGTGCGGGCGCGGGACAGGCGCGGGAGGCCGGCCCTTCCTCTGCCCGAGTGAGATCAGGAGGAGGTCGCTGTGGAGACGGCCGAAGGTCCGGGCCCTCCAGGGAGAGGAGGGGCCGGGGGAGTCGGGGGTCTCCCTGGAGGGGCTGCTGGTTTCTGTCTTTGCCTGCCCCTCCCCCCCAGGAAGACGAGAAACAGACCGGCTCTCCTTTCGTCCGGCCTCCTCCCCTTTCCCTCTGTGCCGTCCTCGGGGGGGCTTGCGGAGCTGGCGCGCCCCTCACACAAGCAACCGAGTTCAGAAGAGGGGTCTGAACAAGGACGGAGCACCCCGCCCCGTGGAAGAGGGAAAGGAAGGCAGGGATGGGGCACTTTGAGGCCGACCCCCGTGACGTGCACGTGGGGACCCAGACAGAGAGCATTCGGGGAAATGCCTGGAAAACGCGGGGAGAGCGGCTGGGGCCGGAGGGTGAGAAGGAGGAGAGGCTCCGAGGGCACGGCTTCTCCGCGCCCCGCAGGCCCCGGCCGCACCGGTGCAGCAGCAGCGGGCCCGACCTGCACCCGGCTCTGGCTGGGCCGGGCTCACCCGTGCCCTCACCGCTCACCCCCAGCGCCTCACCTGCGCCCTGCTCCCGTGGGCCGACCTCCAGAGCGATGGTCAGCTCGAGCAGCTACAGCTGAGACCGGAGGCGATGGAGAAGAGAGAGGCCCGAGGGGTTTCCATTCCCGCACAAAGGAATTTGCCAAATGAGCCGCTTGCAGACGCTGACAGCCTGCCCGTGTCCCTAAGCAAGCGCGGTCGGCCGTGAGGGGGGTGTGGGGGCGGGCTGTGTCCGACCGCGGGGGGGACCGCGGCGGGGACCAGGCCCCGGGGCCTGCCCCTGGCGGCCCACTCTGGGGAAGACAGAGGCCCCCAGAGGGAAGAGCGTGGAACAACCAGCCACACCAGGCTCTTCGACACTTACCTGCTTTGCCCAGGCCCAGCGGGCTGGGGACCTGCTACCTGCTCGGGCTGGCGTGGGCCTGGCTGGGGGCCCTCGCTGTCCTGAGCCGGCTGGTGGCACTCCTGGGGGCCCCGAGCTCACTTGGGGGGGGGCGATGCCCCAAGGGATGGTGTCCTCACTGGGGGGTCTCTGGGGACACCTCGACTGACTGGGCCCCCCCCCCACATCCCGGGCAGCTGTTTGGGGCGGCGTTGGCCGGCATGGGAACTCAGGGCGGCGTGGCGGGGTGTCCCACCAGGTTGCCTGGGGCTTCCGAAAATGGGGCCCCGTTTTAATGCACATCGTGGGCTGCAGTCCTTCCGGGGGGGGCATTTACAGGGAGGAAAACGGGCCTCGAGGAGTCGGGGAGGCTCAGACGGGTGGGGTGCAGACGAAGACGTCGGTTCGCTCCTTCATTCCTTCGAGAGAATCGGCGGAGCAGCTGCAGCCGCTGCGGAGAGCCAACTACCGGACCCCGGCCTCCTGGGCTCGCCTCTGAGGATGTGGGGTCGGGCGGCCAGCACAGGCCGGGGCAGCGGCCACATCAGAAAGCTGTGGGGCGGAGTGCTCCAGGTGGGGCGCAGAGGAGCTGTCTGGGGGGGTGGCGGCACCTGGCTGGGGTCCCGGCGGTGAGGGGCTGGCCCTGGGGAGCCCGGGGGAGGGCCCCTGGGAAGAGGCAGCCGTAAGTCCGAGAGGCCTGCACCAGCCGTGAACTCGATACGCTGGAGGGACACCATCAACGACAACAGCAAAAGCCCAGTGTGGCCGGAGACGGCGCACAGAGGGCAGCGAGTCAGAGACGAGTCAGCAGGACGGTTTCCGCCCGCTGCCCGGAGGACGCGAAGGGGACAGCTGGGGTCTGCAGAGGGTTCGGGGCCGGCCAGGACCCCTCGGCCGGCCCTGGAGGGAGAGGAGGGCGACCCCGAGGGGGAGAGTGCCTGAGCCAGCAGGACAAGAGCTGACCCCCGGCGGGGCAGCAGGCGTCCTGTCACCGAGAGCAAAGACGGGCCTCGCCGCCGCGTTGGGGCACCAGGTGGGGCCCCCGTGACCGACCCGAGCTGCAGGGTCGCGGTCGTCACAGCGTTTCAGCGCCAGAGGAGCATGGATGTGGCACCACCGATATCTT